CAGTCCAACTTTTATCTTTTAACCCAGGCAAAGTCAGGATTTGCTGAAAGTATAAAAGCTACACTACTGTTACTTGTTAGTATCAAGAAAACTGAGTTAAACATTAATAACCTGCATTACAGGTTATTATTAATCTGAAGAACCTTCAAACAATCCCTATAAATTGGGAGCAATAGCATGATGCTGGACCCCAGATGGTCAAGATTTCAACCTCAGATTCTTATTTAAAAGGAATTTATTGAAGTGTAGGCAGGAAGCTGAATTCAGATGACATTTATGTTGACAAATAGCCTGCAAGCTTACTGGAAGGAGTTACCTCCTTTCAATCTAGTGGCCTTAGTGGATATGAGCTCAAAGAAGTGGCATCTGATTGATTCAGCTACTTGCTACTAATACTTTGAGAAATTATTTTGAATTAGTACATTACTTCAACTGTTTGATTGATTTTTATAATATTCTGTATGCTAAAACAGTGTTTCTCAACCTTGACAATTTTAAGGCATGTGGACTTCAACTCCCAAAATTCCACAGCCAGCATTGTTGAGAAACACTGTGCTAAAAGAACAACATTACCATCAGCTATAAAAAAGAGGAAGAGGAAATCACCAAAAGTCTCATCACTTACCCACTGCCTTAGGCTATTTCAAACCCTGTTGTATTTGTAAGGTTAAATACATTAATGGTTGGACATCTACCTATAATCGTAATTAAACTTTTGTATTTTCCTATAGCTTTTGCCAAAAATAACATTAAAATATTGAGAAAAATAATGCAATCATAAGAAAAACCTCCATATATCTAATAGGGTAATATCCTTATTATACCAACTCAACATCACGTATTGCTTTGCTTGCCATCTTGCCAAATACTACCGTATATGGATTTGAACATCAGCAGTTTTTTCATCCCTACTGCCAGCCCATTTTTAAAAAATGCAACAAATCATCTCTTAATAGTTTCATGCAGACAGTGGAGAGACAAAGCAATAAGCCAACAGTGTTCTAGAATTAGCCATTCAATAGGAACAGACTGAGTGCTAAGGGATACTTCCAGTACTTAGCCCAGGCAGCCTGTTTGAAAAGGATACCATAATGCAGGGAAATAGAAAGACACTGAAGTTTCTAAGAGAAGCAACTGAATCTCATCCACCCTGCCTGTTTCCTGATACAACCTATCTCAGGGGCTGGCCAAGGGAGCAATTGTTGAAAACCAGGGCTTCAAGAAGTGGATTCTTGAAATGGGAGTGACTTCTACTTAGTGGAATTGGACTTATACTAGATACACATGTTCAGGTTTATGCTTTGATTAAAAAAAACAGAGGGAATAGTACATAGAGATTTGCTAAGGCAGAACAAAAGCTCTTTCCTCATGTATATGTTTTAGGCTACACTCATAGGCGGATAAAAAACTGATCCCTTTAGATTTGTTCTGCAAATAGCTGTTTCAAAAGAACAACTCAGCTCTTGCAATGTTAATTGCTACTTGAGAAGCCCCACAAGACAACTCTTTATTACAGTCCAACATCTTTCATTTCTCAATTTAAAATTTAACAGAAATATAATAAAAATATCCCATTTATAAATGAGGCAGAGGTTCCATTAGAACAGGGCTTTTCAACCAGTGGTACAGATACCACCTGTGGTACATTGGCACCTGGCAGGTGGTACGCGACCATCCTAGAAAAGTGGTAGCGGGGGAGGGGAATGAGCTGAACCGCTGGCAGCACTGCACAAGCCTGAGTGAGGGATGGCTGGAGCTGCAGGGCTGTCAGGGCTCAGCGGAAGCGCCAGGATCAGTGCCGCTTTCCAGCTGATCGGCGCTTCTTTGGGGCTGTCAGGGCTCAGTGGAAAAACCAGGATCAGCGCCAGGCTCCAGCTGCAGCTCGGTGCTGATCCTGGCGCTTCTGCTGAGCCCAGAAGAAGCACTGATCAGCTGGAATGTTGAAGCATCTCCAGGGTCTTGTGATTTACATTCAGATGCTTGGCAACTGATTCATATTTATGACAGTCACAGTGTCCCAGGGTCATGTGAAGAAACCTGCTGCAACCACCCAGCAGATGGTGGGAATAAAAACCAAACACCCCCCACCCCACCCCCACTACCAATCCTCAACAGAAACGCTCACAACAATAAAAACCTCAAGTTTTTGATACCTTGCTAGGCAACTGGTGGTTTTTGGATATTGCCATATCCTAAAAGTGGTATAATGGGTGAAAAGGTTGAAAAGCCCTGCACTAGAACATTCTAATGCAGTGGTTCTCAACCTTTTTAATGCCGCGACCCCCAACTGGTCGTAAGTCGAGGACTACTCAACCGGTCGTAAGTCGAGGACTACTCAACTGGTGCAACACCATTTGCAGAATGGGACTTTTGGCGGGCTCAGCAGGGCAGAGACAGCCTGGACAATTCCTATTGGCTTTCGAAAGCCAATAGAATAAAAGGGAGTAGCACAGCTAAGGAAAAGGGGGAAAAAATGGCAGACTGCGTTGTTTGGCGACCCCCGTGAAATGGTCGTTTGACCCCAAATGGGGTCCCGACCCACAGGTTGAGAACCACTGTTCTAATGATTCTAGAAAAAACAGAATTTGATTATTTTGTTATGTAATATCAAGTGCTTGTCTGATAAAAGAAAAAAAATTGTAAGTTTCTGTGTTAGAAATATTGTAAAGCTGATATGTGTTGAGGTTCACCCTGAGCTGTAGATGGCCCCCACCCTGATGGTGTTTTCAGAGGGTCTCGAAGCCCAAGCTTTGGGTGAGGGGTGACTGAAGCTCTCTTCTAGGTAGCGTGGGTTTGCTTTTGGTTGTTGCCTTGTTTGTTGTTCTTGTTTTTATTACTGTACTATTTTATTGTTTTTGTGTATGCTTTTTATTTGTGAACTGCCCAGAATTGCTGGGAGGCAAGCAGTGTAAAAATTTAATAAATAAAATAAAATAAATAACAGTTCCTCATGAAAAAGCTTATGGAAGAAAAAAACCAATGCATCAATAGTTCTGACTGTTGTCAGTCTTCAAAGACAGACACATAATGTTATACTGCTGAATAGCCCACTAGAGAGCACAGAGCAGATAGAAATATTTGGGCTTAGAGATTACTGTCAAATATTCAGACAGAGTCTTAACATAGCTGGCTGTTGGGTCAATAGGTGATTTGTAGTTATGCATCTAGCTAGAACAGATGGGTAAAATTATAATTTCCATCAGTATTTGAACATGAAAAACTTTACTCTTCTATCGACTCTCAGTAATTCTGAGTCCAGTCAAAATACAGCATAAGTCATGTGTCTTGTTGATTGAAACAGAGCACTCAGAAATAGACACTGAAATGAGGCAAAGTTGGACTTTATTTCTAGGTCTAATAGAGCTCCACCCAGCAATTTGACCATAAAGGGCTTCAGGGCCACTGTGACAATCCTGTCTCCTTGTCTATAAAAACAATCTTAGGAAAAGGTCCTGGTCTTCAGGCAGTAAAATTCAGCAGCCAGTTAGCACCTATTTTTATTTACAGCAATTAATCTATTCATTAATACTACTGCTTGTATATCCCTAGTTGGTTAGTGAAGACCATAATCTTCAACTTTAATTATTTAATTACAGGCTAAGCCCCCGAAACCAATATTGACTCTTTGGGCTCCCCTAAAGCCAAATAGGGACTAAGATAGTATCACTAGGTTAAAAACCTAGGTTAAAAAGTTGAGCATTGGCATTAAACTGCAAAGACAACCAGGCTGAGCCCGAGGGGTCAAATGCATCATCAGTCTCAAGTTCCTTTGCACCCACAAGAGATCTAAGTCCAGCCCACCTTGTAATCTGTTGATTCTTATCTACCACAAATTTGCTTTGACCTTTAGTAGTTCAAATTCTTGTAAGAAAATTAGCATACAATAAACCTGATTTCCTGTACTTGACAGGAATCTCCAACATTTTATTTTTGTATAACTTTGATAACTGTCAACTGTGGAGTTCTTATGTTTATCGCACAATTTATTATATTAATGCAAATAAAGTCTGCTTATGCTCCAATCATTTAAAAATTAGACTGTTTTTGCAATAAAGGGGAATAGCAGTGCCAGAACTGTTTTACCCACATCAACATTGGATTTAAGCATTTTAGCTGAAATAAGATTGGTACTGGAAAATTTAAGCCCTTTCATTTGGTTGATTTCTCAATTTCTGAAGCACGTACAGAAAGTTAGTTAGATTGAGAATCAGCTACTAGATTGGGTACAAGCTGATACTGAGAGCAAGCATACAAAATTTGGGAAAGAGCTGCCAAAGTTCTACTGGAATATGACATGCCAAACTACGCAGTTTTGGAATCCATAGACTAGTGCTTGATACAAGTCAGAATTTGGCTATACTCTTACCTCTGGGGGTGTAATTAGCTGGTCCTATATGCCCAGCCTCTTTTTATCTTTTAAAAGGGATTTTATGCTTTTATTAATTTCCAGAAGCAGAGGACTCGCTTTATATATAAGAATTCCTAAGGAAGTTGTCCACCTGCTCAAATCAACTTGCATATTAATGTGTTTAACAGCTTCCTTCTGGTAGGCTCTGAATAAGATTCTCAAAATGAGCAGTGACAGAAGGATCAATGTCACTATCTATCCCTAAGCACTTTATTAGACTCAATAAACTACACGAGTCAACATTCAAAATCAACAGTAGATCCTGACAGTAAGCAATTCCCCTGGAGGGACTCTGTTAACAGGTCCGCTGAAAATATATAAATCAAGGCAACTTTGCTCTTGCCTTCCTTAGAGATGTGAATAAGCACATGTCAAAAAAGTAACTTTGATGATCTAAGCTCCCAGATGAACGTTTAAACAATTAATGGTAAACAAATGCTCTATCTCATACCAGATACTTTTAAATCTGAGATAGCAACTGTTGAAGGGAAGCTAACATATTTAGAAACAGGTTGTATATTTTGGAGTTTTTCCGAGGTTTTGGAAAAGAAGTAGGGCTAGGAAAACTAAAAATGGACAAATGACCACTTACTTCGAGAAACTGCTGCTGAATTTAGTTAACTTCCCCCAGCACAAACCGGAGCGCCCCTTCCGTCTTTCGGGCTTCGTGCAAAGAGCAATCCGAAGAGAGGCGGCTTCCCCAACGCCCTTGCGGGGAACCTCTCGTCTCCCCTACCGCAAAGCGCCTTTCCGCCGCTTTGTCCAGCAGCCCAACCCCGACGCAAGCCGACCTTTCTCCCAAGGAATGCAGACCTCGCCTTAACGCTCCTGGATTTAATTGGATGTTATCTCAACACAGACACGTGTCTAGAGTCTTGCAGAGAAAATAGCGTAAAGGCCCGCGAGATTTATGCACTTCGGTGCAGAAAAAGAGAGCGGCCTACCCTGCCGCGCGGTCGGCAACTGTGGGCTAAGCTCGAGATCAGAAATGGCATCTCTTCCGAGCCCAGCCTGACTTTCCTAGTAATCCGTCATGCCCACGCCGAGCAGATGGCGCTGGCTCCTCAGGCGCGACGCAGCACTTCTTTCTCCGCCGGCCGGGTTCTTGTTCTCTCTCTCCTTGAACTCCAGCCTCCGAGGAGCCGAAAGGCGCCGTATCTGAGGGAAACGCCGACCTTCGTCTTCCTCATTTACTTCGTCCTCGGCGAGACCGAGATGGCGACTTCCACTTAGCCTTGGCCCTTTTCCGCGACGCGCAGCCCACCAGGGGACTAACATCCACTTAGGGAATGTTTGACGGGAATCGTTACCGTTGGCCAAACCTCCGTGCGCAGCCTTGCTCGCCTGAGGAAGAAAAGCTCGGTGTTTCGAGGTGGCCTCGTGGAAGTGGATGCCCCGAGGCTCCCCCGCGTTTCGCCTCTTCCTGCTTTGATGAAGCATCCCCGCAGCTCGTTGAGCACCGCCCGCCTTTGGGCCCACCTTCTGGGCGCCGCGGCTACTCTTGTCTCTTCGCCAACTTTAAAGCGGCTTTTCCAATAGGCACACTAATTACCGTTTCTTCTCTTTCCTCGAATGTGTGGGAAATGGCAGAGGGGCCAATCCTTGCTAAGGAACCTTCTGACCAGCCTCGCTGCCTCCTCTCCTGCGACGCTGAACTCCCAGCAAGTTGTGTTCCTCTCCCCCCCCACCACCATCTCTCCCCACACCTCCCGCATCTGCTCCAATACGACTGAAATCAGTGGAGCTTAAAGGGAAAAGTTTCCTGGGAAACGATAGGAAGTTTTTTCTTCTTCTTTTAAGTCAGCATCTCAATCTGGCCTGCAACTTTTGAGAGTCCCTACTTGGCAGTTCCCATTCCATGGTAAATTAGGTGGAGTCAAAGGGATAAAAACGTGGATGCACATATAGTTCTGGTTGCCAACTCCTGCCAGGGCTTTTTTTGTCATAGAACGCCCAGAATGGAGTTTGGGCACCTTTTTTGGATGGAACCTTGTAGAGTAGGCAAGGCAGGTTATATAAGTGTGTGAGTTCCCACACCTTTTTTTTTTTTTTTTTTACAAAAAAAAAAGCACTGCCTGTAACTATACTCATCTTTAATTGGGATTGGGCATCACAGAGCGCCTTTTCCCCTTTACATCTTTTTGTTTGTTTGAGCCTGACTTACCATGATGTGTTTACTCAAGGATTGGGATCGTAATGATGATTTATGGTTATCAACTATGATTTGACAAACCAAATTTGAAACAAACAAATACAATGTTTGTAATCCTGTATTATTTGTCCCATATATGTCTCCTCATTAAATTCTCAGGTAAATGGAATTAAGATGTGGTACCAAATCTGCAAGTGCTACAAAATGTTTCCTTGGTCATTTTCCAAAAGTTCAATTTTTGGAAAATGACCAAGGAAACATTTTGTAGCACTTGCAGATTTGGTACCACATGAAATTTAATTTCTAAGTTTCTAATGCCAAGCAAGCCTGATTAGAGTCCCTGACCTCCTTTGGAGGGAAATCTCTTTCAAATCTAAAGTCACACAGAAAATTTAATGAACAGGTAGGAACATACAGAGAAAATGTATGCTCTTTGCACATATAACATATCAGCATGTATACTCTTTGGCTAAATTGTTTCTTCTTGTTGCTTTTCTTCAAACATTTCATTCCACTCCCAACCTCTGTGTTGACATCAAGATGTGAACCAGGGTGCACAAGTAATCCTTGCTTACTGGCTCCCATGTTTCAGCTCCCATGTTATTAATGTTATCAAATTATGACAGTATATATAAAAGAAAGCCTTGCCACCAATCCTCACATTTATGACTGTTGAAGTATCCTGTAGTCACCAGATTGCCATTTAGATACTTTCTAACAGGCGTACATTTACAACCAATACAGCATCTCAAAGTCATGTGATCAACATTTGTGTGCTTCCCAACCTGCTTGTGACAAATAGAATTAATGGAAAACGCAGATGTAAAATCAGAAATTGTGGTCAGATGATATTTTACTTAATGAGTGAATGGGAAGTGATGTTTAAGTCAAGTTACATGATTTCCAATTGTGATACTTAGTAAAACAATTGCTGGTACCACTTATAATCACTAAACAAGGACTACCTGTACTTGGAATTCTTCATGTTTCACCTGCCCATCACTGCTTTTATTCCTATCACCCACTCTTCTAGTTGAATTCCACTGTGCACACAATAAACCTGTGGGGAGACACTGCACATTATTTACAGTAAAATTCTGAAGCCACAGAACAGAGTTGCTATAGTCTCTGTGAGCCTTCCAGTCATATTGATAATCCTGTATTAAATTTATTGGCAGAGAGAAAAGAATCTACTCCAGTAATGTTATCCATTATGGGAGATGAACATAATTGCATAATAAGTCTAATCGTGCATCATGCTGCATCTTTCATAACAGTTTATGAAATCTTATCTTTCCTAAATTAGGCTTCTGACTAGAGTGCTCCACCCTTGTTCTGATTTTTTTCCCTAAAATCTGTTCACTTGCACTTGTCTTTAAACCTTTGAGTGATAAAATAGAACAGCTTTCAAATCATATTTGAGTCATTCAAAATACTTCTAGAATCAAGATAACAATTATCTACCTCTGGTTTCTAATGGACATTAAACAAACTTATAGAAAAAGAAATCTCTTTTGATTGAACTTACCCTGAAAGAACTTTATATACCTTACCTTGAAAGAACTTTATATAAGACACTGGCTATTTTCTCTTTTATACCAATCAAAAAGGGCACATGGAAAAAAAAAGTAATGCTACATGCATTTGGAATAAGAGTTCTCTGAACTATTGAGCCCAAAGAGGTAAATTATAATGATATAGTTTAGAATGTATTGAAAAGGCTATGTGTTCATCTAACTTCAGGGATCATACCTAGTGAGTGCTCCTCATGACAGTGCCCCAAATGTTTTTTCTATAGCAGTGGGACAACTGTTTTGAATTTTTTAGGAGAAACAGATTTATAGACAACTGAGTTTAAAAAGCCATAACGTAATGAGAAATGCTTAATATTTAAAATAACCTTTTCCAACAAGACATTTTTCATGTTTGGAATGGATTGGAAATTCTAGGAACTGTAGTGCTAAAATATCTGGAGAAAGCCATATTGGAGAAAACACATTTGTAAAGTGATACAGGGTATGGCAGAAGCAAGATACTTTATGACACTTATTAGCAATATTACTAATTACCAACCTCTGATGTTTGCACTAGTGCATGACATTTCAAATGCCACTGGGTGTTTGACAGGAAAAAGAAAGAGAAATTTGCCCAATTTATCTCAGTGAGAAAATGTCATTGAACACCTTTCCCCTGCTATAATAATCCCAGTAGCAAGAATAGTCTCTTGTAACGATGGAATAAAAACTATAAATTGAATGACAATTGAATAATAATAGAAGGGAATATATGTAGCTCAGAGTTGAACTGTTAAGTCCTTGGTGTTCTCTGGGTGAGCAAATCCCATTCACTAAAATTGATCTTACACGGAGAGCCCCCCAGGACTCCATAATTGTAATATAAGTAGATTTGAGAGTTTTGTTTGGTCTTCTTCTTCTTGTGCCATATCCATTATCGGACGATGGCGATCATGTTGGTGATCCTGTTTTTATCAGCAGCGCACGAAAAAGTGCTGCTGAGTTTTGTCCAAATCAGTCCCTTAGATTTTGAAGCTATGATGTTCTTCTTCTGCCTGAACCTCGTTTGCCTTCAGTCTTTCCCTGGAGGATTAAATGGAGTATGCCGTAATTTTTCTGGGTGTCGTATCACATGTCCGAAATATTCTAATTTTCATTTTTTAATTGTTTTGATGATTTTCCTTGACTTTCCCAGGCCGCTTATCACCTCCTCGTTTCTGATCTTGTGAACCCAGCTTATATGTAACAGCCACCTGTAAATCCACATTTCAAATGCTTCTAGTCCAGTGGTTCTCAACCTTTCTAATGCCGTGACCCCACAATATAGTTCCCCATGTTGTGGTGACCCCCCAACCACTTATAATCACCGGGTGCCAGGGGCGTGGCCAAAGAAAAGGGGGAAAAAATGGCGGACAGCCTTGTTTGGCGACCCCCATGAAATGGTCGTTCGACCCCAAATGGGGTCCCGACCCACAGATTGAGAACCACTGTTCTAGTCTCTTCAGGTGGCCTTCTGTCAGAGATCAACTCTCTACTCCATAGAGCAGGATAGAAAAAATATAGCATCTGACAAGTCTGATTTTCAGTCTTTTGTTTGGTAGGCACACTAAAGTGAAACACAAGGTAACTAATGTTGCATTTTTATTGCACATTACGTGACATATCTTAATAGTTCTTAATTCAGTTGGCACCATGGATCTAAACTATCATTCCTACCTTTGTTGTACAATAATTGGAGGCGTCTACAAGATTGAAGGTATTGCTAAAATATGCCATGAGCTCTGACCCTTTTATATATACATGTGATATCACAATACATGTACAAAGGGGTGGAGCTTGTATTGTGACACTACTGTTACAATTTCTCCCCTCCCCTTTGTAATTTTTTCAGTAATAAAAAAAGCTAAAAACTCCTATTTCCAAGATACATGTTTGAAATAGCAGCTGTTGATGTAATAGTTTCGATGTGCCAAGGAAGGTTGTTCAGAGAAACATCATCTCCTGCTTTTGGGGCACTGCTATTGTAATTCTTGGTCAGATTTTATATGTAGAATATATCTTAAGCAGTATCACTGTATAAATCAAGTATGTGTCCTTTTGTGATTTAATAAATGTCTCTAAGGTTTAACTAGCATGTCATGGATCACACCTTTAAAGTAGATTTACAAGAAGTAGAAGAGAGAAGGACACAGCTAAATGTAACTTAAATTGAATCATAGAATCCTAGGAAAGACCCTTGGAGGTCTAACCCCCTACCTGGGGCAGGAACCCTTATATCATCCCAGACAAACAATTGTCCAATATTTTCTTGAAAACCTCAGTGATGGTGCGCCCACAACTCCAGGAGCCAAGCTGTTATAATATAAATTGAATTTATATTATAGTAAATTCCATTTTTAGAATGATTCATCTGAGTTATTTAGAAACAAGATAGAAAATAGAGAGCAACATTCATATGAAGTAAGTAATGAAAAAACATACACAAAACATGACCATTAAGTATAATTTACAAATATCACTGATTGGCAGACTGCTGTAGCTTCTTGCCATTTTATTCCACTTTCACAGGATGTACTAGGAGTTGGTAGGATAATTGACAGAGGCTATTTATGTGAATGCACACCATGAAAGGGATCAGATTATTAAGTAGCTCCAGAAAAGGCATCAGACTAGAATAAAAAGCCCCAAAGTATTATAAAAGAGAAGTTTTCTTTTACCAACTCAGTTATCCCTACTATGATGTTTTGTAAACTAGCCTGATTTTTAAAAACTTTAAACATGTTTTTTCCTACCTCATCAGAAGAAGTCTTGAAAGTCTCAAATTGGATTATATAACAAATATGCACAGTGCAATACTTGTGAATAGGCTTAGACTTGGTGGTGCTAACAGTTTAATGCCTCTATTCACATAATTGGTCAGATGATCTAATGCTGGAATTTGCACAACATACTAAGCTTACTTAGTGTTAACATTGGTTCTATTTTTTTCTGATCAAAATCTTGTTAGCTTGATTCCTATGTATTGAGCAAC